GCGGCTGCGCTGTCCTGCCCTGCCTGCAGTATGCAAATTAGCCGTCATCTTTGTTGGCAGTTAATTAGCATATCATGCTGATTAGCCAATGGGAGGCGTAGCAAAGGTATGGTCAATTACCATGTTTGTCTATTATTAGATAGGATGATGCACACGCACTTTCACATTACACAGATGAAGGTTTTTTAAAATCAGCTGAACAGGCCTGACCAGTGTGGCTCAGTGATTGAGCATCAACCTATGAACCAGGAGGTCATGGTTTGATTCCTGGTCAGGACACATGCCAGGTTGCAGGCTAGATCCCCAGTGTGGGGCGTGCAGGAGGCAGCTGATCAATGATTCTCATCATTGATGTGTCTATCTCCCTCTCCCTCTCCCTTCCTCTCTTTGAAATCAAATGACAGATTAGGAACCGGACTGTGTGCATTGTTAAAATGATGGCGGTTTTTTTTCGGTTTGAGGGGAATAAATATGAAGAGGCAAGTCTTTCTGTTTCCAATCCCGCTCCTCACAGAAAGGGGTCTGAACGGAAGTGCACCCCTCGGGCCTCCGTCTCCGATTCTGGACATAATTGTCCTTTTCGTGATGAGCCAGGCCATTGCTAGGAGCCTGCGTCCTGAGGGGCGGCACTGGTTCCCGGGCCTGTCTCTCAGGCCTCTCCTCGCACCTGGCGATGGTGTCCCGGGTCCCCTGGTTCTAACCACATCCCCTTGGCCTGCAGTGGCCGGGCACTGTGGGCGGGGACACCGGATCCCAGCCCTCAGACTCCTTAGTGAAACCAAGGGTCTCAGTGGCCTGTGGCCTCCTGCTACCCGCCCTGGCTCTGTCTGGGGCCTCCTCTCTACTCAGAGCGCATCCGCAATTTTCAAAATCCGCTTGGCCTGCCCCTTACCCCCCAACCCGCACCCCCACCCCCCAGACTGCGACCCCGGAGGCCTGGGCGATGCTGGCCTGGCTGTTGAAGATGCTTTGCAGGCGGTGCTGATGGTCACATGGGGTCCCGGGAGGCTGCGGCCCAGAGTCCAGCCTTTGCACAGACAGGGCCCTGGTTGGGCCCCGGAAGTCGGCCAGAGTCTAAAATCCAGCGGCCCAGTCACGTGTCCTCGCTCTCCTCCCATCTCCTCGGGCAAACCCCTTCCCTTACGTCAGAAAAAAAAGTTTCCAAGCCACACACGTCATAGACCAAAATAGAGATTTTTATTTCCAAATGTAGAGCAGACATGTTTTCAAAAACATGAAGCAACGACGAAAACCTCCAGCCGCCTTTGAGAGCACCGACCTCCCACGTGGAAGCGGCGAGGGGGGCGGGGCTTTAAGGCGCAGCTGGAAGAAGCTCGGGGTCCCCGTCCCCCCCGAGCGAGCGGGGGAGGCAGGGCTCCGCGGGCTGTGGACGGACGGGATGCGAACCCAGATAACACACACGCGCTCCAGGATGGCCACTGGCTGCGGCTCGGCTGCCTTCCCAGGAGCCGAACGTATGGCAAATGCGGTTTTACAGTCACAAGTAGCATGTCGGCCGGGATGTGGTCCCTGTGTGCACTGCTTACATATTAGAACATTTCAGACAACGAAGTTTTTGCTTTTGAAGTCAAAACCCACTTACCTAGTGTCTATACGCACACACACATGCACACACACGCGCACACACGTGTACACAGTGCACACACACGTACACACACATGCGTGTATGCAGTGCACACACACACACACCCACACACACACAGACACGTGCGCCTTCCTCTGTCACTTCTCTGCCAATGAACCTTCTACAACAGGCACAGCCACACCCTCTGGAGAGAGAGGCCCCCTTTCCGTCCAGGGGAGGGAGTCAGAGCTGCCCCCCAGCAGTGCTCGCCCAGCCCACTCTGCCCCCCCACTCCCCCTGCCCTTCGAGGGGTGGCCTGTGCCTCCAGGGGAAGGAAAGCACCAGCCTCCCCCACGGAGAAGAGGAGAGGCCCGCTGTGACCCAGCCCGGGCTGCAGGCTGCGCCTGGGGCACCCTCCGCCAATCAGGACAGACTGGCCGGGTCAGACCCCACGTCTTCAGGGCCAGCGGTGTTGTGCCCTCAGCCCCAGCGTCCTCATGTCAGACACGGAGGAAAGGAACACCCGCCCAGCGTGTGGGGATTGAGGCCAAGGAGGCGCGTGAACCACAGCACCACAGGGAGGCTGTTTCTGAGGCCGCCGCCCCCTCCGCCCTGCCCTAGCGCCCAGGTCCCACACCTCCCCTCGCCTCACAGACCCCTCCGGTCCCGCGGTCCTTCTCACTCAGAGCCCAGCAAACTGGACGGGAGCCGGAGACGGCTCAGCAGGTGACCAGCAGCCTGGACCGTGGACCATGCTCACCTGTGTTTCTCTCCCCTTCTCTCCCCCTCTTTCTCCTCCTCTTCTCCCCCTCTCTCCCTCTCTCCTTCTCTCTCTGTCCTCCTCTCTCCTTCCCCCAACCCCCCCACACACACACTGGGCTGAGCAGTGACATTCCCCTCTTCCTCCTCCAGACACTCCCCTCTTCCCACCCCCTCACCCTCTGGGACAGGGGAAAACCAAACACGCCACCCGCAGGGCACATTAAGGCCCTTTGCGGCTCTTGTTCAGGAAGCCAGAACGTCATGAAAACCCTGATTGTCTGCACGCACTCTGAGCAGAAGAGATTACACTTAAGAGCACTAGTAAGTGGGTTGTTAGATCACATTACAACTGCATTTATATAAAGTAATGAAAATATCAGGTCTCTTTTTTAAAAAAAGTTATGCAAACAAGCAGACTAAGGCATCATCATCCAAGTTTACAAAATATACAGACACTCCCGCCCACCAGCCCACACGCTCAAAGCCCTTGCTTTTGGAAGTTACTGACAAGGCGGGCGGGGGGCCTGCTCTGGGCCATCCTGGGCAGGGTGCCCCTGGGGGCGGGGGTGACCTTGCCCCCTTGCTGTGTGCCCACAGGCAGGTCGCTGCCCCTCTCTGGGCCTCAGCCTTCTCCCTGTGAAGAGGGGGTGGGGGGCAGTGGAGACACGGAAGGCCCTGCCAGCTCGGACCGTCTAGGGTGGACGCACAGGGCCCCCTGAGCCTGGTGTGGCTGCTGGACTGAGGTCTGGGGGCGCAGCCCTGACCCTCCAGCAGAGGGTCGCCCGGGGGCAGCTTCTCCCTGCCGGTGAAGCGGGCTTTCTGCTGGGCGCCCAGCGCGGTTCCCGGCAGCACCGCCTTCCCGCGCCCAAATGTCCGGTTCCTTTTGGTTCTGGGAGCCCGGGTCCAGCGGCGAGAGCTGTGCCCAGGCCGGGCCTGGCGAGAAAGGGAGCCGGTGTGCCAGGCAGGGGGCATGGGGCGGGGCCAGGGCTCCGGCGCCTCAGTTTCCCCCGGCTTCCGGGGCTTCCA